TGCTGTAACCACTAGACCAAACTGCTTCTCCTTCTCTTGCCCTCAGACCCCCTTGATCAAGCTCTGGCTGGGCAGGACGCCTTTTTCCTAGAACAAACCAAGAAGCAGCCTGTGAAGGTAAGCGCTGGGCCCGTCCCGTAGCGGGCGGTGGGTGGGGGGAAACGGCGGCCTGCGGGCTGAGCCTCACCCTCCTGCGATGTTCCCTCCTCCAGCGTCCTGACAGGCTGAAGAAGACCCCGTCCGAGCTGCCCGCCATGGAGGTCATCTCCCCAGGAGGATCTTACAATCCCAGCTTCCAGTCTCACCAGGTACCGGCAACGCTGGGTGAATTGCCGCGACGGCAGGGGCGTTTCCTTTTCCCTCCTGTCTGGCGCTTGAGAACCCCGAGCGATCCGTTGGGGGCGGATTTCACGCGGGGTCCCAGGTGGGGAGGCTTGCTGAGGTCTGTGTGAAGAGCTCTCACTGGGGTTTGTTTTCTTCTCTTACCCCGCTCTCCCCTTCCCCACCCCCCACCCCCCGACCCCAACAGGCATTGCTCCTCCAGGCCTTTGAAGCCGAGCTGGTGAGGCAGAAGGCAGAGGAGAGGCTGCAGCGTCAGCTGAATTTCCCCACCGCCGCTGAGGCCCCCACCCAGGTGAGGGCTGGTACCCAAACAACAAGGAGGGCCAGTCCCGAACAAGGGCTGAACCCTGTCCTGAATTCTTCTTGGGATAGAATTATTCAGAGAGAAGATCACAACGACTGGAGGAAGGGCTTTCCCCACGGTGTGTGTGTGGGGGGGTGTCACAGTTCCGATGGGGACAACAGGATTGGCCTGTTCCGGGTGGGCATGGCGTGAAAGAGATGGTATTGGTGGAAACTGGAGACTCAGGCCCACTTTAAATATTGGAGAAAGGAAGAGCAGCCGCGTGGAAGGAGATAATCTGCAGGGGCTGGGGGTCATATTTCAAGGAATGTTTTCTAACTGTAACCTCAGTTCAATGATGTTGGGGCAGCTTTTCAACCCCCCAACCCCACCCAATCTTCTGGATGGGGCCGTCTGGCAGACTACAAAGCTATGAGCAGCTTTATTATTATTTTTTACAAAATAACTCAAAGTGGTAAACAGAGCTAATGCTCCTTCCTCCTCCTATTTTCCCCACAACAGTCCTGTGAGGTGGGTTGGGCTAAAAGAGGGACTGGCCCGAGGTCACCCAGACGGCTTCCGTGCCCAGTTTCTAGCCTGCTGCCTTAACCACTAGACCAGGGGTGTCCAACCTTGGCTACTTTA